CTCCTCCCCATCGCAAGCCATGGGCAAGTCTACACATGCCATACCTACGATCTCGCCCACGCACAGTGGGACGAGTTCACACAGAAAAAAGAGGGGCTTCGGATTCCATCCCGGTGTGTTTGTTATAGAGGTACTTAGTCGTACTCGGTTCTCGAACCTGTCAGTCCAACATAAATACCGTATTGACCAACGGGACCAAATGTCCTGTTAGTTGACAGCTCTTCAAGCCATAAATTTCGGATCACAAAATGAACGAAGGTATCCGTCCCGTTCCTTGATGAAAGCGTATATGCCTAGTTAATTGAGATGACAAATTTGAAATAGTATATTATATTATGGCCATTTCCGGCTTATTAGCCGTCGTCAGCCAGTCATACTCAACTCCGAAATGTGCAACAGCCGAGGCTCGAACCCGCGACCTGTTAGTTAGAAGTTCACGCCTCTAACCCCTGGGCCACGAGCCCATTGCCCTGTTGGTTTCGATCGGGAATATACAATGGTGGGGGTGCTCGCCGATCGTTCTTACGGAATTCACTCGTTCCGTTCTGTGAAATAGCATCCTTTCCGCCTGTTATTCTACCATGGATAGGTATTAAAATAAATATTCCCTAGTAATTTCCACGCAGTATTTCGTCCACCCAAGGGGGAGGAATCAAAACACACATTTATAATGTATCAAGTCGTTGTTGAGAAGGATAATCATCGAGATTTTTGACGCAACTTTGAATAGGTTTACATTGCAAATGTTGTTTTTGATGAAATACCTTTAAAAAATAAACAACGAAATCGCAACCGATTTGATATGGCAAGCAACGACGTCAGTCGCGAACCGCCAACCCATCATTGACTAGTCTACGAAATACCTGTGCCGGATTCTACAATGAAATTTGTTCCCAAAACTTTAGTCTACAAAAAACCTGACATAAGATCAAGTTAAATGTATTTTCTAAGGCGTCATTTGATCTGTTAGGTGCGTCAGTAGATCCGTTTATAATCCATAAAAAACTACAGTTTTCTATATTGCCATCTTCCTGTATTTCTGTTTAAAGTTTTAAAAAGAAAACCCTTTCCACTTTTTCAGTTTGTCCAAAAGGCATTGAGTACGCTGGAACCCTCGTACTGAAATGGATTTGAAGTGACCCTTCCGTCGTCAACATATATATTATCCCGACAACTGAAGACTGTCATCTTCAACTTTTTTTCTCAGTAAAATAAATTCACTTGAATCCTTCCGGTTTAAGTGCACAGAACTGTCAGAAAGTAATGTTCAAACACGGATAAGGTTGTCGGAGCACGAAGTAACGAGTTCTGAACAACAGACCCGAACTCTCATCGCCCAACCCCCGCCAGCGTCATACGGCCACTGACAGCCAGATACGATGCAGTCTAGCTTTTGCCATACGCCACTTTAGGCCCGGTATCCCATCTCATGAACATAATTTTTACTTAGCGCAGAAGCTGGAACAGAATGTGAAGTCGATCGAGTTGGGGTGCAACGCAAAATCTCCAGCGAGTAAACAGTCACAGATACCGGATTGGTGAAAGTTCACCAACAGAAGAGAAACTTTGGTTCTCCTCGACCTGAATAGTCGACCGTAATGGTTCCCTCATGGCAGCTGCGTTGGGTGGGAAGTTTCAGTTTATTTAGTCTGCTTCACGCGCGTGCAAGAAAGCACGCGCTTGTAGCCCATGTAAACGCACTCATTGCATCCCTGTCCATTTTCCTCATTTCTGACCTTGCACAATGGGATATGACTGAGATGAGTGAGAGAGACGGTGTAGGCGCAGTGCAAGTCGTCCGCCTCGTCATTAGTCACCTCTTCCGTCAGCCCTAATGAGCGGATTAACATTTCCGGCAAATAAAAGGGAGACTAGGATGGCCGTTTCGGACCAATCAGCTGGAATCAGCCAGCCAAACTAGATCCCAGGATTTGCAAGATTCGAGGCCCAATCCCCTGGACATAGGTGGGTCTGGCTAATGATGACTAATAAGACTGAAATGTCCACCGCGATCCCCTTGTCCTTACCTGTAATGTAAGTCTGCTCAGGTATACATATTTATCTAAAATGGTAGAGGGCGCTCACCAATCGTTCATACGGAACTCACTCGTTCCGTTGTGCCTTAAGGGCTTTCTCTTGAGCCCAACCAGCAGCCGCACAGCGGAGTATGATATATAGGCAGAATGGCATTACCATTTGGTCCACCTTCAATATAAAGCCCGTTTTCGACATGATCCAAATTGCGCCACCATTTGCGGCGAATAAAATGACGATGTCATGATAGGGACCTCAGTCATTATAGTCCTTATTTCCTTCATAAGACGACGTAAACTTAGATGAGATGGAGCCGACAAAGACAAGGGACACCGGAATGGCCATTTCTGGCTTATTAGCCGTCATCAGCCAGTCATACCCAACCCCAAGTGTGATTCACTTGAGATTCGAACCCGGGATCTGATGTTGGCTGATAAGCCAGAAACGGCCATTCCGGTCTCCCTTGTCCTTGTCGGCTCTATCTCATCCATGTCTACTACTAGTCGCTGTGCGACTGCCTGCGAGGGTTCTAGTATGAGCCCCAAGGCAAAACGGAACGAGCATGTTCCGTAACCTGATCGACGAGCGTCCACTCTCATAACGACGTAAACTGTTTTTTTTCGAAAGAGATCAGCGGCACGGGTTTATTATGGACTTTAGGAAGTAATAGGATACATTAAAATTTCACTGGGAAAGTCATACCCGCAGTATCGACATGACATACTTAAAATCCTGTAGCATGTTCGTCCTCCAATTGTGATTGAAAATGGTCTCTAGTTTCACTAGTAAGACTGATCGTTTCTTCATCCTCACAGTACTGCAGGCCATGTTCCCAATGCCTAGGGTGCCATCGAGCATTTTATCTGAGATCGATAAAAAAGTATTGACTCTTTTTCATTGCCAGTTGATCGTAACCAAATCCAACTCTGGATAACCTGGAATTCGGATCCGGATTTTCCGATTATTTGACGTTTAGTAATCCAACATGCAACCGTTTGACCAGGGGTCTGTTGTTTTGCCGGTTATGAGCAAAAGTGTTAACTATTATGTAAAGACGTTCACCGACCGGGATTTCGGAGAGACTTGACTCATCGCATCCTAGGGCCCCTCCGGTACAGTTGCATAGCGACCAATAATTTAACCAAGCGAGTGCCGTCAAACAATAGGAGGAATGGATTGACTATTCTTTACTCCGCAGGCCTTATCAGCAAGCCATATCCAACGCAAGTTAGCCACATATGCAAAAATCCCATTTTGTGAGCGCAGCGTGCATGCGAAGGAAATATCCGACTGTAAAGACATGCAACTAATAGTTTCCTAATATTCCCTAATATTCAATGCACTTTATGCAACATCCAGCCGGACAGACTGATTCGAAGTACCGAGGATTTCAGGTCGTTTTCCTGAATTTAACCCGAGAAATTAAACAGAATTTTCAGTCATGTTTTCAACATCTGGCAGTCCTGCTCGTCGCAGTCGCCTCGGTCGTTGCTATCACCGACTGCAAACACCGCAACCAGACTCACTTAGCCACAGTCCAGTAAGAGCGAAACTATCTTACAGATAGTATGGCATAACCGATAAAGACAAGGGAGACTGGGATGGCCATTTCTGGCTTATTAGCCATCGTCAGCCAGTCATGCCCAATCCCGAAGCTTGGAACAACCGAGGTTAGTAATGCCATTCTGCCTATATCATGCGCGGTTTGGCTCGAGGGAGAGCCCGTAAAACACAACGGGACTAGTGAGTTCCGTAAGAACTATCGGTGAGCTTCCCCTACCATTGCATATTCCCGATCGAAAAACCGACAGGACAACGGGCTCGTGACTCAGTGGTTAGAGGCGTAGACTTTAAGCTAACAGGTCGCGAATTCGAGGCTCGGGTGTTCCACACTTCGGGATTGGGCATGACCGGCTGACGACGGCTAATAAGTCAGAAATTGCCATTCCAGTCCCCCTTGTCTTTGTCGATAATGCCATTCTGCCTATATATCTATCTATTTGAGATCTACCTTGGTCATTGGCTTCAATGGGACGTCAGCTAGTGGGACCGTTTCCACGACTAGTTAGCTCGGATGTCGGCTCGAGAAAAGACAACGCAGTGGAATCCATCCTCATAGTATGTCAGCGGCTTTCTCGCTATGATAAGCCTGATGTATCCAAATCTATCACGACGCGCCAATATTCATAGTTCGGAAAGTTGCTAACTGACTTGAGAAGAAGATCCTTCTCGGGCCTAAAACTAAGGCTGCAACAGTACCTTGTTAATGTGACCTTTTATGTATGAACCTCTCATCTATGGGGGATCCGATTCGCCTTCACGAAACTACCGTTCGTGTATTGGAACCAGGTCGTGTGTGTTCTGTTCGCCTAGGCGAAAGGTTTAAATTTGTCAGCCATGGCGC